AAAAGTTGAAAGGCAGAAAAATTGTTAGCTTAATTTCAAGTCACAAAAAATCACAGCGTTTCTCTCGGCAAGAAAAGTGCGGGAAGGAAAAGAAAAGTAACATAAAGAAAAGTATGGGAAGTAATTCGCCCGACCGCAAGAATAAGGTAAGGAATCGAAAAAATAAGGGAAAGAAAAGTAACATAAAGAAGAAAAGGGGAGTAATTCGTTAAGGGAAGGAAAAGAAAGCATCACATAAATTTAGGGTGACGACTCATAATAAGAGAAATTTTAAAATAACAAAAATTAATTTTAAAGTTCTAATTTTTATTTCTCAAGTGATTCCTTACATCTTGAAAGGGCTTTATTTTGGATAGGAAAAAGACATCAAATTTTGAGATTATTCAAATGCATGAGAAAATTGTTGATATCAGAGAAGAATTTAATTCCCTTTTAACTCAAAAAAAAAAAAAGGAAATTGATGACAAGGAAAAAAAGTTCTAATATAGAGCTTATATATTCTATCAATTCCAAAGAAATGAATGGTGTTTATCTTAAAGTTAGGGTGGTTAATGAGTTGAGTTATCATAGAGTTGTGAATAAATAAAGTCAAGCAGAACTCTTTAAAACTCAAATTCAAGCTTGATATTATATTAATAAGTCAAGTTCATATTTTTATCAAATTCGAGTGTTATGAGCTAAAGCTCGAGTTATACTTGCGAACTCAAACTCATATGGAGATGAACTCAATTAATTACTCAAATTTAATTTAAAATAAAAATAAAATTTTAAATATTTAATATATAATTACTTTTTTAATATAGTTGAGTCAAGTATAATTGAATAAAGTTTGATTTCGAGCTCGAGTTGAATATGTTTGAGTAAAGGTTTGCATGTGAGGTGGAATTAAAAGAATGTATGTACAAAGATCTCAATTAGAGGAAAAAGAGTTAAAAGAGTGCAATATATATGGCGTTTCCTCATACATGTTCGTATTCTCTCATGTGTGTGCTCCCAAAACAGCTCCATTGACTTCCTAATAGCCCTACCTTGAGCTACTTGACTCGAACTTGAATTGGGCTCAAATCAACTTGAGCTTGAATTTGAGCTCAAATTTGAACTCAAAAAATTAAGTCGAGTCAAACATATTTAAAAAAATTATATACTAAAATTTTATTTTTGTTTAAATTTTAAATTAAATTTGAGTAATCAATCAAACCTGTTAGTGGAATTCGAGTTCACAAGTCAAACTCATGAATCAAGTTCAAGCTAATTTGTGAGTTAAGTTTGACTTTAATATA